CCCCCCCCCCTTAATTACATTAATACTTGTTGGAAAAATTGCTTTGCTGTAAAATTGCTGACCACTGCACTTTTCAAGAACTTTTCATGTAGAATTGAACATACAAAAGCTGAGAGCTCAGAAATTATGATAAAAGCCTGATGCAATCTAAGGCATAGCTCAGGCCCATGCCTGAAATGTGACAAAAGATGGTCTTCATCAAAGGGGATGTCCAGCTCTGTGAGACGGCTGCCTTCCTTTAGCTGGTTTAACCCTCTTGAATCTCCTTATTTCATCATACGCTGTGCAACGTGGGGCAAAAATTACTTGGAAAAATTACCCTATCTTATTGAACCTTTCAACAGTTCATCCGCTGGGCCAAATCCTGGCAACACAGCACCAGGTGATGTTTCTCCATCGTTCGCCTTAAAGGAGCATTTTGATCAGCTACGGGCAGCACTAAGCTATTATCCCTGAGACCGCAGGCGGCACGTCAAGTGTTGCGCAGCTCAGCTTTGCCTTCTCTGCTAAGTTGTTTACCGAGGCCAACACACACCACTTTGTATGCGCAGCCCTTAAAACTAGATGTAGCTTCCAGAGGGCTGCGAGGCTCAAGCCTTTGGCCTGACAATCTGGCGGTGCCCCAGCCAGATGTCACTGACCCCGGCGGGTGCTCCCGGGGAGTAAAAAAGGTGCCTCTGTCTCCCGATCCCGGCGTCTGCTCCACGTATGCGGTTCATAGGCAGCTTTATTAGGGTTTCCAAGGTGTAACTGTTGGATATTCAGATCACAGATGGTTTGCACTTGGACTCACTGCTGTCAAGGCACAAAACCCCCATGCTGTCTTTACGTAGGTCGAGATCCCCCCCTGCTGCAAACTCTGCTTAAAGGGAGAGTGTAAAGCTTTAGGGATGAAGGGGGGCTGCCCCAGCCACTTTCCGTGCCAGGCTGGCATGGGGTGGCACGGCACCATCCCCGTTCGCTCTGTCCCCACGGCTGCAACTACACAGAAGGGACAGAGGCAGCGAGCCATCAAGGACAAGGCAGGGACACCATCACCGCTGCCTCCACTCACCTTTACCATGTACTGCCAGCCTGTGCGGCCCCTCCAAGGAGCTGCCCCTGTCGGACACAGCTTGAGGTAGCAAGATCCTTTTGCAACAGCCTCCCAAAATCTGTCCTTTCCCCAAAATATCCCCATCAACCACAGTCACCTAATTTACAGCCATGGGATGAGGTTTCCAGGGCTGGCTCCACTAGTCCTGACATCACTGTGCTCGCGTGGCGGCACCCACTTGCAGACCACGACCCCCAGCCTCTCTGAAACCTTGTTTTCCTGCAGCATTCAAGAAATTAAGTGCCCCTTGCAAATGCCCATCCAAACTGGGGGAGTGTGGGGCAGTATTCTTCAAAGGGAGTTAAATGGGGGTGGAAAAAAAGCCATCTAAGTTAACCGTCCAGTGAATGATTTCCCATTCACCTTTCCTCAGAGAAACGCCGTT